TGTGAAGGACGGTCGTCTACCTCCCGTGAAGTTAATACATCACCAAAACAGTCTCACCCGATCAATAAGTGGCGTAGGCCGCAAACAAACACGGGTTGCCAGGTGAAGTTGCGAATTGTGATCGCTTGGCGTTTGCCGTTTAGATGCGCACGCAATCACGGTTGGTGTTGATTCCCGGGCCGAGTTGGAAGCACTGTTGGGCTTTCGGCTCGGATTTGTGTGTGCGCTTGACCTTGTATACGGCAGGTTTGAGGAACGGGTACGTCGCCCCCGGCCGGGGAGGGTGCCCGTGCCACATCTCGTACGGCGATTTCTTCTCTGGGTTGGATGTGGTTGAGGTGCAGTTCAGGGCGTTGCATGCCCAAGCTATGACCTCGGCCCAAAGGGAGGGGTAGTTGGTGCTCCGGGGTAGAGAGTTGGTGCTTGGATACGGGCGGCTAGTGCTGCATCCTTGATCAGACCCAGTGCTCCCTCGGCTACACCGTTGTATTCTGGGCTGTGTGCGGGAGTGAACTCCTGTTTGATGCAGTACTTCCGGCACACCCTGCCGAACTCTCTCTAAAATAACTCACCTCCTTTGTCAGATCTCACGACCATGACATCGGACGGGGCACCGTCTGCCCGTTTTTCTGCAAGGNGAACTCCTGTTTGATGCAGTACTTCCGGCACACCCTGCCGAACTCTCTCTAAAATAACTCACCTCCTTTGTCAGATCTCACGACCATGACATCGGACGGGGCACCGTCTGCCCGTTTTTCTGCAAGGTACCTCTCAAATGCCTCAGCGGCGTCTGATTTGTGCTTCAGGAAATAGACACGGTTTCACCTTGAATAATTATCCTTGACAATGAGAGTGTACCACTTTCCCCCGAAGCTCTGCACCCTAGCTTTTCCACTCAAATCCACGAAAACTCGCTGCAGTTTCTTATCTGCTCGGGTCGACGTTTTGTTGGGGATGGGCTTGGAAAGCCCCTTCGTCGTCGAGCACCCCATGCACTCCCGGAGCTCGTCCACCAGCGTCGTCCCCTGCTGCTTTGCCGTGGTCCTTAGCAGCACCTCGTGGGAGTGGCCGTGCGCGCAGTGGAAATCGTTGATGTCAACGGGGGTGCTGGACGCTTTCGCGTTGCCAGGAGCGATTGCGGCATGGGCATGTTCGGCGTGTGTGCGGAAACCGTATTGGACGTACAGGTTACCGCATCGGGGGAAGTACACCGCCTTCCCCTCCTCTTTCTCCGACTCCAACTCGTGTTTGTCTAGGGTTTTTGTTTTGAACCCGTCGTCGAAGAGGGACGTCAGAGGGACACTAGGTTGTAGTCTAGTCGAGGAACGTGTGCAACCCGTTCCAGGAACAGGTCTGTTGTCCCGTCGCGCGAGCCAAGGGTCACGGTGACGTCGTCGTACCCCACGATGGGGAAAAAGTTTCTCCGGCGGCGACGCGCACACGTCGATCACACTCCTGATATCGGACGAACCCATCTGAGTTCGCGAACACGTGGGTGGTAGCGCCGGTATCGGCAACATACCTCCCCCGCCTCGCCCGGTCTACACTTCCTCGACCAACAACTCTGTGACACTCGCCTGAGATGTCACCGACCACCAGCGCCTTTTCTGCCACGTCCAGTGCTGTGGCATCCGCAGACACCCCCCTCGCCGGCACTTCCACCACGAGCACCGCCTCCTCGGTCGGGCACTTGCTCTTGTCGTGTCCGTAGCCCTTGCATGTCTCGCATCGCACGGGCACGCTCTCGGTGCAGTCGGCCACGTGGTGGCCCTTCTTGCCGCACCGGAAGCAGCGACCGCGCATGCTACCCGCACCACCGTCGCCGCCTCCGCCGCCGCCACCAGCCTTCGCGCCACCCCCTCTCCCGTTCTGGTTGCCGCCGCCGCCGCCGCTGCCGCCGCCGTAGCCGCCGTAGCCGCCGCCACCCTTGTGGCGGCCGCTGTTGCCGCGGCCCGGCGCTCCTCCTCCGCCGCTACCGTCGCTCGCGAGGAGAGCGTGCTCCGCCCTCCGCTCGTCCTTCGAGGCCTTCCTCCACTCCGGGAGGCTCGATTGCACCGTGCTCACGATCCTGACGATTCCGGCCCTATCCAGCGCCGTTGCTGTCTCCAACAGGAACTTCGCTTGTTGGTACTTGGGTGCGAGGGCACCAACGAAGTGGGCGAGTACAAAGGGTGCGTCAGCGTTGGGCCCTTTTTCGCGTAGGCGTGAGTACAGCAGCTCGAGCGAGTGTAGGTGCTCGATGGGGTTTCTGCTGCTGTGTGTGGGGATCGTGAAGTTAAGCATTTGCTTCATTAGGGCTTACTTCGAGCCCTGCGATTCCGGATCGTAGATTTTGTCGAGTTCAGCGAGGATCTCTTCTGCGGTCTCGCATTTGTTCACGATCGCCTTGTCGGCTTCTCTGACGATGGCAGTGGAAACAAAATGGAACGCTTGGAGACCCCTCTGGACCTCTTCGCTCGTGTATTCGAGGCGGTACAGCTCCGAGCTTCGCACGTTTGGGTTGCCGACGGGTGCATGTCTCTCGTTGTTGCCGATCAATTGTCCGTCCAGTCCTACAGTTTGCCCGCTTGGATAAGCGACTTTCCCCACGAGCATACCCGTGGCCGCGACTCTCCCCTTCAAGACGCGGGGCATTGACTGTTACTCTTTTCATGTGGCTACTGCTGTAGCCGTCGAGGAATTCTCCATTTCCTCGAATCACGGGTATCTCATCTGGGGGGTTTAATCCCCTCGCTTCCCCGTAGTCCGGTCCTATGCCCGGGTCCACTCAGGCTGGTCTCGCAGGATTCGCTCCCGATCTGCTGGCCCAGCCGCCTTCCAGCAGCTGACGTGTTTCTTGTCCACCATCTCGTGCTTACTGCTGGAGAAATCCCCCTCCTCCGCCGAGCGGCTGTGTGGGCTCTTGGCCTCTGGGGGCGGCCACCCAGCCGCCCCTACTGACTGCATCCGCCACGACGCTGTCAGGCTCCTTCTTCTTTATCGACTCCTCCACCAGGGCCGCCAATTGCAAATCTGCAGTTGCAAACTTGCAAGCTCCGCATCGCGGCTCTCCTGCACCGGCGGGCGGATCTGTTCTCCGCTCGCAGCAGTGTGCTCTTCGNCCGACTCCTCCACCAGGGCCGCCAATTGCGAAATCTGCAGTTGCAAACTTGCAAGCTCCGTATCGCTGCCGTCCTGCACCGGCGGGCGGATCTGTTCTCCGCTCGCAGCAGTGTGCTCTTCGTCTCCGGCAGAGCTCATCCCAATGTGGCTTCCCTCGAGGGGCAAACTCTAGAGTGTTTGCGGCCTACGCAACTTGTTCATCGGGTGAGATTGTACGTCTGGCTGTCTGCCCATCTGCCGCCTCTTTGCCCTGTTTTCTCCGTTACTCCCATGCCCTGGTGCGCAGTGCCTGATGCTGGGACGTTACCCTTTGATTTTTTTTTCGGCGGGTGTGGGGAAGCGTCCTCCTTTATTTTTCTGTTATTTTTGTTTTGTTTTATTTTGATCGGTGTCCGAAGGCTCTTTTCTCGAACGGTCGATGCGATACCTGTTCTTTTCTTTCTATCATTTTGTTTTCTTTTTCCGAGTGGTTTGTACCCTATTTTTTTTTTTTCTCGCGGCGTCGTATGTGCCAGGTTTTGAGACCACGGGCTCCCCATTTTTTGTGGACTATTGAGCTAATGTGAGAAACAACAACAACAACAACTGTTTCGGTGATGTATTAACTTCCCGAGAGGTACACGACCGCCCTCAGAAAGGACGAAAGAGGGAGTGCTCCAAATAGAGCGGCTCCAACAGCAAGGAGGCGCCCCGTGAATCATCGCGGTGCCCCCTTCCAAACAGCAATCTTACCAATCTGCGTGACACCAAATCATACAGCGCATGTATCCGAAACAAATGTTCGCAGACCCACGAACAAGTGTTCTGCTCCGCCTACTGTTCGCCTACGAATTCCCGACAGACTTGATTAAATACGTCAGCCCGAAAAAGCCGCATTCCCCTTCTCCTCTTGCTCCTCCTCCTCCTCCTTCTCCTCCACGCCTTCCCCCCCTCCTCTTACCCCTCCTCCCGTCCTTCTTCCTTCCGTCTCCTCTCCCCTCCCCCCGTTCCTCGTCCTCATTGCGCTCCTCCTTTTTGTTGGAATCTAGGGAGCGCCGACAACGTTTTGGCCACAAGTCTCGCGCCGCAACAGCCTGGGCTAGACATGCGCCCCCCGCAAGGGTGCGCTGATCATGTTCTCCCTCTCGTTTGTTTCCGCTGTAAAAAAACTTCGACCATAAGAAAAGCAGGGAACTCAAATAAACAACTGATCACCAAAGAGAAGTACTGACATACCCGGGCTGACCCGACCGTTGCAATTCTTTTCCAGGTCTCCTCTCCTTTCACCTAGTGAAGACTCTTACTCCATTTGGCAGCCCGATGTTCGGTAACTTCATCCTTTTTCCGTTCACTGTCCTACTCCCCACTACTATTATGCACTCAATAACGCTGTTGACACTTCTTCGGACCCTTGTCGTCCTGCTCTCACATACACCATAAATGCGGATGATTTTCATCTCTCGATCTGGATGGTCGACGCTCCTTGCTTCCCTAGTCGCGTGGCTCCTCGAATTCTTCCTGAGCGCAGAGTACTGTTCGGGGTCCGCTCCTACTCTGCTGGCCATTCATCTAAGTACTCCGGTTGCTTCCGATCGTGTGACTACCATCCATCTCCCATGGTCTAACGTGTGCATCATCAGTGGAGCGTGGCTCCCAAGCTCTAGGTGTACATTCAACAGCTCTAGCACGATTTCAAGTGCTCCCATCTCTCCTCCGTCCAACACTCTCTGATCACACGTTTTGCTACTCTTACTCTTGTCACGTCCGCGCTCTTCCGTTGTTGGTCTGCCTTCGATGCAGGACTCGTAACCTCTATTTTTTCGCTCCGTTCCGTCCATCCCAGTCGAGTCTCATTGGTCCGTGGTAGAACGCAAGATAACCCCTAGCTAAGCTGGCGTCCGCACCACCGTTGTCGTATGCCCATAGCTCTGACGCCTACATAGCAAGAAATACGAAAGGGCGATCCCGATCCACACGACCTGCTCTCTACTCAATCACCTCGTCCTAATAAGTCCCTTCCTTCTCCAAGCATGTGGAATGTGATCGGGTTCAGCTCTTGGTCTTGACATGCGACCGCTGCGTAGCATACGCTCTATCAATCGGTGTTTCTACTGCCGACACTATGAAATGAGACGTAGGCAGTTTCACCCAGCTTACCCTACCGTACCCTCTCACCGTTCACCTCTGGTTTTGGTACGCTAGACATGTGGACGCCATGAACACAGTCGAATCTCTCACAGCGCTGTCAATACCGTGCTCTTCTAGCAGCCACGATCAACCCCAAGCCTTGACTCTCTCCTCCGTCCATGTTCAAAACATCCTACAGTATATTCTCTTCGTACTCTCGTTCAGGCACCCGTGATCTAGAAGGTCATCCGAATCGTTCTCCTTCAGCGTTACTTCCTCCTCCTCCATATTCTTCACTGGTTCCTGTAGCATATCGTAGGCGGTAACGGCGTCGTCAGCATCACGTGCGTTCAATGGGGTTTACCTGGTCATGATATTCCAGGCATGCTCATTCATTGGGGTCTGAGGTAGGTCGTTCTGCAGGATCAGTCGGATCAGTTCTCTTCCGTGGTTTCCGATACCTTGGAAGATCCAGGTTTGGTTGCTGGTAGGCCCTTTCACGTTGTCCGCTACCTTGTCCGTCTCCCATCCTGATATAACTTCGGCTGGCGCCTTGCTGCGACCTGGGATGTGTTTAACGACATGACACCATCCGTTGTGCATTTCGATTCGACCTAGCAACCCTATAAGCAGGCCCGTTCGTCTATCGCGTGACCCTCGGCATCTGTTCAGTCGCGACACCGCAGAGACGTTGTCGCCTCTCATCAGTACCGACTGCCCTTCTTCGCTCGGTTTGTCTCCGACGATCATCTACAAAGCACTCCATAGGTGGGCATTGCCACTGTTGCATCATCTGTAGAAAATGGTTTGGGGCGGGTGAGGGGAGTGCCGCTGCTGCTGTAATTTAATGTTGGTACGTACAGGTTCTCTCCGCCTCCCCCCCTCCTCCCCTCCCCGGGGGAGGCCGAGGCCCGCAAGTGCAGTTAACCCTCGAAAAACCACCCAACAACGACGGATATACGGTCCCTAGCACCGTTTAGGAGAGGATCCTGAGTTTGGCGGTCGGGAGTTAACCGCGGTCACGAGATCGAGGTAGATCGCGAAAAGCCAACTTGGAGACAGCTGCCGATGGGTTTGAACCCAAATGCCCCGGTTTGGACGCCGGGGCAAGGCAGCAGTGGAGAGCACGGAGAGGGTGGCGGGATGATCGCACACCGTGTGGGTAAGCACCCAACAGGGGGACGGAAAGGGTCCAGAGCTGGAGAGCCACGCCGCTCCGGGACAGGAAGACACCTCGCTGGGAAAGGCAAG